AAAACTGATTCCCATAAATGCTGCAAACTCATACACGTGTTTCCAGGCATGAAGAGATGCTGGGATTCCTGCTAAACAAAATAATAACAATTTTTCATTTCAGTGATGATTTTACTTTGTTCTTCATAATTTTCTCTATTGCAGTGGTTTTCAGTTCCAGGTTGTAACCCATTAGCAGGTGGTAAAATTGATTTAGAAAACAGGAACCAGAAACGCCTGGGTGGCATACTCGGTTAAGCGTCTGCCTTCGGCTCAGGTCCTGATCCCAGGGTCCTGGGATCGAGCCCTGCCTTGGGCTCCTTGCTCAGCGGGGAGCCTGCTTCTCCCTCTGCCCGAAGCTCCCCCTGCTTGTGCACACTCTCTCTCTCTGACAAATAAATAAATAAAATCTTAAAAAAGGAAAAAAAAAAAAGCCCTCCCTCCCTCCCAGGGTTATTGTGAAATTGAATGAGAGGTGAGTGAAAGATGAGTGATAAGCCGTCTAGGAACCTGGACCTGGATATTATTACTGCATGAGCCACACAGTCTAGAAGCTGGTCGTGTATTTACAATTATTCATCAATTTTTATGTGTGTCATGATTGTGACTGGACATGGTTGTAACTTGGACTTACATCAATTCATATTAATTGATTACTCTTTGTCACTAATATTTACATTCTCGATGTTAATGATACTATTAATGCTGATTTATGACCAGATGTAAGGCTCTGTTCCAAGCATTTTGTGTGGACCGTATGGTCTCTTTTCATCCTCACAATATTCCTGCTTTGGGTGCAATTATGATCCTGCTTTACACAGGCGGAAATGGAGATCCCAGTCTTATCTGTTTGGAGCCTTTCCCTGGTTAGGGATCAGGAGCCCTGGTCCTACCCACAAAGGGCCTGAGGCTTCAGCCCCAGTTCAAAGCAGCAAGCGCCCTGGACCTCGCCCCTTACCCCTTCTCTCCTCCGCCGCCCTGCATCCTCCCAGCTCTCCCTATGTGCACTTTACGGCCTGCTCCTCATCCCCCACCACATCCCCCAAAAATCTGATCAGCAGGGCTAAATCTGAGGTCTTTGGGGGATATAAAGAGAGACATTCCTCCCCAGATCATCTGCATTCAGCAACAGATTGGGGCTGCTGCTGGGAGTATGGCCCTGTACTAAACTCTTTTCTCAGTTACTATCACCAGGAACAGGTTTTCCAGATACTCTGCTCACGGGCAGTTTCTTGCTCCCATGTTTCAAGACACCCCCCAAGGACCTTGAAAGTTCTTTGCAGAGGTCCAGTTCAGACCTGCTCTTGATCTCTAAACGGCAAGGACCCCAAGAGCTGGAGCATCTTGTCCCCAACTTTCTCATGTAAGAGCCAAAGGGCAGGCCCCTCAACAAGCATTTCCTGACCACCTGTGGCAGGCCTGGGTGCTGATGCCACAGGGCTGAACAAGAGAGAAAACAAGATGATCTTCACCCTGAGCAAAGCTGCTGGCCTCCTGCTGAGGGTAAAGGAAGGGGTGTAAGTATAGCAGGAGGGAGAGGCAAGGAGGAGGGCCCAAGGAGATGAGGGTGAAGAAGAGAAAGGGAAGGGGGGGCTACACAGGGCTAGATCTTGAAGAATGAGCAGGGGTTCTTGGGGCTACAAAAAAGAAGACAGACAAAATTCTAGATAGAAGAAATGGATTGTGTGAAGCCATTGTATACTTGGGGATTGCAGATATTCTATGGGGCTAGAACTTACTTGTTTGGCTGGCAGAGTGTCTGAAAGCTGGGAAGGCTCTGAGAAATGCCAGAAACTAGATGTATGTTAATTCTTATTGGGATCTTTTAAATTTAATAACTGTTAATAGAGTAGCTAAAATTAACTGAATGTTTATTCTGGACCAGACACTGTGCTAGGTTCCTTACAGGAACTGTCACTTTTAATATTTCCAAAACACTATTAGCAGGATGCTATTGTCCCCAATTTACAAACTGGAAAAGCGAGGCCTACAGAGATTTACCTGCTGAAGTCACATACCTGTTATTGGGGTAAGGCCATCAAATTTGGGTTTATCTAACTGCAGAGTCCCTACTAGTTATTAACCTCCATTGCTCTGAACCATCATGCAAAAGAAGGTAGACTTTAACCTGAAGGGAATGGGAAGGAGGTGGAAAAAGATTAAAACATGAGAGTGACAGGCTCAAGAAAATGCTTTTCAAAAAAGATAGCTCTCACACAGAGTGGAAGCTTAGTGGCAGGGCAGAGTCTAGCCTGAATGCTTAATCCTCCAGATCAGAGTGGGTGGGCACTCAGTTAACACAGGGGCCCTAGATGGATAGAGAAAGAGTGATGGTACTGAAAGTCAGAAAGTAGATTTGATAACATGAAATCTGGACAGAGGGCCAGAGGAAGGAAATTCTGCCCTGAACAGACTGGAGGCTGAAGGTATCTTTCAGCAAGATAGGGAATATGGAAGGGGGAAAATAGCTTTGGGAAGTAAATGATGCACTTTTAGAAATGAGTGTGAAGTGCTTATTACCTATCCAGAAGGACCTGGCCACCCAGCAGTTAGATATATTGGTGTACAGCTCAAGACAGGGGGCTCAGTGGAAGATACCAATTTGGGAACACTTGGGGGAGGTAGAGATATGGCAAGCAGGGAATCCATGATCTCCTTTGAGTTTCAGGGAAGAAAAAACTAAGGTCAGCATGAATGAACCCAGGAATATCGGTGGGCCTGGCAGAGAAAGAGGAGGAGAACATGAGAAGGTTGAGATGGAGATGTGCAGAAGGATAAGAATGACCAGGAGAGGGTGTGAACCCGGAGGCCAAGTCCTCTTCCAAGGAAGCAAAGGTACTGTCAACAGGGCCATACCACAGAGCTTACCTCTACAAATGCACACACACCCACTACCTTAAGGCAGATTTAAATCTGAAAACTGGTTTTCACTTCTTAAAAATCCCAGGTTCAGGGGCACCCGGGGGGCTCAGTCGGTTAAATGCCTTTGGCTCAGGCCATTATCCCAGGGTCCTGCATCATGCTTCCCACTAAGCCGGGAGCTGGCTTCTCCCTCTCCCTCTTCCTCTCCCCCTGCTTGTGCTCTGTCAAATAAATGAACAAAACCTTAAAAACAAAAAACAAAACAAAAAAACCCCACACAGGTTCAAGGTAGACTTTTCCTACAACCCAGCTGGTCATGTAGAAGCTAATTATTACAGGAAGAGCATTTATTTACCTTGTCCTTAACTATCTTTTAACTCTCACCCAAGAGTAGACAATTAAGGGGCACCTGGGTTAAGTGTCTGCCTTGGGCTCAGGTCATGATCCCAGGGTCCTGGGACTGGGCCCCACGAGGAACTCAACTCAGCTGGAAGCCTGCTTCTCCTTCCCCCTTCCCCCCCCGCCCCCGCTTGTGTTCCCTTTCTGTGTCTCTCCGTCAGATAAATAATAAAATCTAAAAAAAAAGAGTAGACAATTAAGTATAGAAATTATTAAATGTGAAAATTTTAAATTGTTATTTTGTATTGATGTGAGCAGTTTGTGCTGGTCTCCTAACCAAAGATTTGAAAGATTGCTGGGAGGGGAGGCTTTTACGTTAAAAGGAACACAAGATTTTCTTCTATTCCTGACTATCAACAGTGCCACTAAATTTCCCTTTGAGGTTCAGACAGGGAGACCTCCTGGAGGTTAGAGGCGCTCTGACTGGTAAATTAAGGCAGTGTGATACTGGGGGCAAACATAGAATGTAGAGGACTGACACCTGTAACCAACATCACAGGTTCTAGGGGCTGTTCAGCCGCTCCTGGGCCTGAAATGTTGAGCAAGCCACACCCGAGAGCCTCAGACTACCTCAGAAAGCCCTGTTATGTCCCTGAAAGGTTTGCCATAGATGGATGAGATGATGGGTGCAAAGGTGGTGCCCCCCACACCTCTAAAAGTTACTGCTTCTTAACTCAGAGAGTACAGACCCAGGACCGTGGATCTATCCTGCATTGAGGGCCTAAGCAGGGAATAACGGTCTGACTAGGAACCTGGGGGCATGCTCTGGAGATTGCTGTGACCCTGGAGGAGGGGGCCACAGTCCCTACAAAAAATACACTGGTCTCCCGCTGACACATTTCAGGAGAGGCAACAGAAGCTTTAAAAAACATTTCATGGGGTGCCTGGGTGGCTTCAGTTGTTAAGCGTCTGCCTTTGGCTCAGGTCATGATCCCGGGGTCCTGGGATCGGGCCCCACATTGATCCCTGCTCTCTCACTCCCCCTGCTTGTGTTCCCCCTCTGTCAAATAAATAAATAAAATCTTTAAAACAAAAAACTAGGTTTCCTTCCTTTCCTTTTCTTTCCCTTGTGAATTCTTACTGGAATGTTTTTAACCTGTCACTGTGCTGCGACAAAACAGAAAACCCAAGTCTTGGCCTGTTCCAGGGCAAGTAAGTGACTAAATTTAAAAAGAGGTGTCATATACATAAGACCTGTAGAGCTTTTCCATCTGAGCTCTGTGGAGGGGACTCTGCAAGACTCCGTCCCATGCCACCAAGAGGGCTTGCTCTTCCACTTCCCAAATGGTACAAGAATCATCCCTACGGCCCACACCCTCATTATTTCCTATTAGTGGGGAACTTCATCTCCTACAGGAGGACCATGTTCTGCCTCTTTATTCTCTCTTCCCAAGAACTTCCCTTCAGAAGCCCACCTCTGTCCTTTCTCTGAGTAACCTCTCAGATACCCGAAAAGAGTTCCCTTGTGTCTGAAGAAAACAGATAATAAGTCTGGACAGAGAATCCAGACGCCAGTCGCAGCTTTTAGAGAGACCTTCACACAACACACGCGAGTCTCACTACCATGGATCTATGCGGAGAACGGACCAACGAAGGCCCAGCTCACTCAAGTGGCGGTTAGTCAGTCACATTCCCGCCTCCCTCGCCATCACAAGTTAGGCTTAGAGGTAGAGCATGGGGAGTTACCCTATGCCTAAAAACGTGGGAATTGGGTATACGCAAAGCCACCCACGCGCCCCGCTGGATAACTTCTCTACTACCTGCACCAAGCTTTCTGTCTCTGCATCTGGGGTTGTTCTCCCGGACGAACAGGAGTCGGCTGCGGACTGAGCAGGTAACGGTACCGACAGCAGAGCTCCCGTGGAGTGGCCTTGGTTAAGGCGGCCTTTGAATCTTCCCGCTGCGGCAGCTCTGACGAGACTGTCAGAACTGAGTGCCGAGCTACATAAGCCGGACCCTCTTTGTCCTCTAGTCCATTCCTGCCTGGAGCCGCCCATACTCCCTACCTTAAGGTTCACTGGCATTGAAAAGGGGGGAGGGGCCAGATTGGGGACAATGAGAATGTCAAGGATTTAAGACCTCTGGCAAAGTCGCTCAGGCGCACGAGGGACTTTTGACAAACTGGAAGGAGTAAGGGAATGAGTGGCACATGCTAAATAAATCGGGCGGACCCGAGAAGCCGGGCCCTTACTGACACCCAACCCGCAGGCAAAGCTCGGGGATCCCGAAGTTGACCCGGCAGAAGCCGGGCGACACGAAGGTGGCGGTTTCCCCCCGCAGCCGGAGCGTCGCGCCTCTCGGGGCCACTTCCGGCGGGGGTGTGGAGGTCGCCCGCGCGAAGCCATCGCCGCGCGCCCGCGCTTCCCGTGGTCTAAACAGCCCGCCCGGGCCTGCCCTGGACGGCGAGTCCCGAGCGTCCGGCCCCCTAGGGACTCCTCGCCGACCCGGCCCCCTCTCGAGCCCGAAAGCCCCTCCCCTTCTTACAGATTACAAACCCCGGTCGCAGTAGAGCGCGTAAGGACGCCCCCCCCCCGGGCCCCCACTCCGAAGGGCCCAGAGTAAAGCGAGCGGGCACCGCCGTCTCCCAGAAGCACAACTGGGGGTCCCGGCCGCCCCGCAGTAGGAAGCCAGCCAACGGGGTATCCCTCCACCCGGCGCGTGGTCTCCACGCTACCCGTGGGCAGCGCCCGGCTTGACCCCGCCCTAATGTCCCACCCTCCCGCGATAGGGAAGCGTCCGCCGGGAAGGAGCGGACGACTAAGTGGCACAGCTTCTTCCGAGTGTTGTCGTGGGTGGCTCTGAAAAGAGCCTTTGGATGGATAGGATGGAAGCTCGAGCCGGGCGCTCACTTTCAAGCCCGCTCCCCGCGGATGCGGCGAGCCAGCTGGATGTCCTTGGGCATGATGGTGACGCGCTTGGCGTGGATGGCGCACAGGTTCGTGTCCTCGAACAGCCCCACCAGGTAGGCCTCGCTCGCCTCCTGCAGCGCCATCACGGCCGAGCTCTGGAAGCGCAGGTCCGTCTTGAAGTCCTGCGCGATCTCGCGCACCAGCCGCTGGAACGGCAGCTTGCGGATCAGCAGCTCGGTGGACTTCTGGTAGCGCCGGATCTCGCGCAGGGCCACGGTGCCCGGCCGGTAGCGGTGCGGCTTCTTCACGCCGCCCGTGGCCGGCGCGCTCTTGCGGGCCGCCTTGGTGGCCAGCTGCTTGCGCGGGGCCTTGCCACCGGTCGACTTGCGGGCGGTTTGCTTCGTGCGAGCCATAGCGAACCAAGACACCAGCTCACCAGCGCAGCGGCAGCGAGAGTGACGCGGCCGCCGCCCGCCGCACCAGCCTTTATAGGCACCGTCTTTTTCCGATTGGGCGGGACAATAATTGAAAGTCCCGCGCTGGCTGTCCATTGGCCGTGACGTCACCCGCCCTGCCGTCACCCATTGGCTTGGGCAGAATCCTCCCTACCCCCGCCCACCCGCCTCGCTCAGTCTACTTTCCAGTTGGCCAACAGTCTTCCCTACCTTGTTTTTCCTTTCTTTTCGGCCGGCGGGGGAGGCCCATTTGGGTTCATAACCGTGTCAGAATGTTGTTCCTCCTCGGCCTTTCGCCCCCGTAGAACACCGCTCCGCACCCCCTTCCTTCCTTCCTTCCCACGCTGTCTCCCCAATTCAACCTCAATCTTGCGTTTGCTCCCCGTCCCCCAAAACGCCTTGTGACCTTTGAGGAGCCCCCTCGTTCGTCTGACGGATCTTTTTTCCCGCCTGCCGGTGGTTTTCAGATTGGAAAGTTGTCTCACCCACGCCCGCCGCCCGCCGCCCGCCGCCCGCCGCCCGCCGCCCGCCGCCC